TCATTTTTCAAACTCGTGAACTTGAAGCTCTTGCGCATTTTGGCGAGCAACCCCAAAGCAAGATTTCTCGCTCTCTGGATCTGAGAAGCGGCTGTTGCATAAATTTCCTTCGCAAGATTTACTGCATTTCTTTAAGCTTAGATGCTTGGGGGGGATGATTTGGCTTGTGTCGGGGCTTGGCTTGGCTTGGCTTGCTTGTGTCGGGGTGGGCTTGGGGCTTGCTCTGTGTGGCTTGGCTTGGCTTGGTGGCTTGCTTTGGCCTTGGCTTGGCTTGGCTTTGTGTCGGGGCTTGGCTTGGCTGCTTGCTCTGTTCGGGGCTTGGCTAGGCTTGGCTTGCTTTGTGTCGGGGCTTGGCTTGCTTTGGTGTCGGGGCTTGGCTTGGCTTGGCTTGCTTTGTGTCGGGCTTGCTTGGCTTGGCTTGCTTGTGTCGGGGCTTGGCTTGGCTTGCTTTGTGTCGGGGCTTGGCTTGGCTTGCTTTGTGTCGGGGCTTGGCTTGGCTTGGCTTGCTTTGTGTCGGGGCTTGGCTGGCTTGGCTTGCTTGTGTCGGGGCTTGGCTTGGCTTGGCTTGCTTTGTGTCGGGGCTTGGCTTGGCTTGGCTTGCTTTGTGTCGGGGCTTGACTTGGCTTGGCTGCTTGTGTCGGGGCTTGGCTTGGCTCGGCTTGCTTTTGGGGAAGCTGATGCTGTGAGATCTGGAAGGGGAGGGAGATAGGGGGAGGAAGGGGGGGGGGGTACGATGATATGGTATTGATTATAGTGATGATGATGATAATGTTTAATAATAATGTCTAATAATATTAATAATGATAATGATAGTTATAATAATATAATATTAATGCTAATGCTAATGCTAATGCTAATAATAATAATAAATAATAATAAAATAATAATAATAATTAATAATAATAATATATAATAATAATAATAATAATAATAATATAATAATAATAATAATAATAATAATAATAATAATAATAAATAATATAATAATAATAATAATAATAATAAATAATGATAATAACAATGATAATAAAAATAACAACAATAAATAATAATAATAATAAATGATAATGATACTACTACTACTACTATTACTAGTAACAGTAATAATAATTGATTGACGATCATAATTATCATCATTAAAGTTATAATGATAGTAATATACTAATACTGATACTAACAGTGGTGGCAATATTGATAAATGAGCAATCAATAACACAATTAATGATGATGATATAAGTAATAATCACGAAACTAATGATGATTTGTTTTATCATTAATATATTTTTTAATCAGTCTTATTATCATTACCATAATTATTGTTGTTATTTTTATCATCATGCATGATATTTGTAATTATTAATTATTGTAATTATTTATTGTCATCATCATCATCATCATCATCATCATCATTATTATTAATTATTGTTATTATTATCATTATTATTATCATTATTATTATATATTATCATTATTATAAATAATCATTATTATCATTATTATTATTATTATTATTATCATTATTATCATTATCATTATTATTATCATTATCATATCATTATCATCATTATCTTTATCATTAATATCATTATCATTATCATTATCACGACGAAGACGAAACGAAGACGAAGACGAGAGACGAAGACGAAGGCAGAAGAAGAGCCAAGACGGAGCTTCCCTTTAAGCAGCCTATTCCTATAAAATATCTTCCGAGACATAAATTCAGCCTCGTATATATATACCGGTTTGCCTTTTTTTCTTCGCTTCGGTAAAATATTTCGCGCCCCTGTTCGCTTTTAGAAAGATTTCGTTGTTGGGGAGTTCTGGGCCGGCTTTTAATTTTCTTTTTTTTAATTATTTATTCATTGAGGTATCTGTTTATTTGTTTATTATTGTTATCGTTATTATTATTATTATTGTTGTTGTTGTTATCATTATTATTATCATCATTACTACTAGTAGTAGTATAGTAGTATAGTAGTAAGTAGTTGCAGTAGAAGGAGCAGTTGCAGTGGAAAGGAGCAGTTGCAGTAGAAGGAGCAGTTGAGTTAGTAGTAGTAGTAGTAGTACCACTATTATTATTTTTATTCTATATATATATATTTTTTTTTTTTTGGGGGGAGGGTCTGATCTATGTTTTATATATACATACTTACATAAATATCTACTTATTTGATATAGACATACTTAAGGGCATGTACATACCAATACATATATACATACAAACATACATAAAAGCCTAAAAATACATACTAAAAATATTCATAATCAAGGGTGCATATGCATGAGGTCTTTCATACTTACATATATACAATAAAACATAACATATATACTACATACATCATATACATACACTCACGATTGTATATATATATAAGACACATGGATACGAGAATTGCTTACTTGGATGTACACAATACAATGCATAATACATATTTACAAACACAAAAATCGCTTATTACACATTTTATCTCCTTCTTTTTTTATTTCTCAAATCAATCCTATCTTCCACTTCATCAACACAGATTGATATCTTCATTTCCCTCCTATCTTTAGATCGTATGATAACAAATTTATAACAAAAACAAACACAAAAAAAAAAAATCCTTCTCTACTTAACCTTATCTTTTTATTTCCTAATCATATCGTCCAATCCACATTTATCAACAAACAAATTGAAAAAAAAAGTCCTTATTTACCACCCTTTCGATGTCCTTCCTATCTGTTTTATCTCTCCAAATCACCTATCCACTTCTATCAACAAACAGATTAATAACAAAAACAAACACAAAAAATCTTATTTACACACCCTTTCATTTCCCTCCTATTTTTTATTTCTCTAATAATCGTATCCACTTTTATCAACAAACAAATTGATAACAACAACAACAACAACAAAATCCTCATCTGCCTATTTTTCTGTTTCTCTAACCCCCAATCCACTTTATTTCTCTAATCACTTCTATCAGACAGAAGAGATTAATAACAATCCTCAGTTCAGTTTTATCAGTAATTTATTCGAAAAAGCAAGTCCACACCAAAGCGAATTCCGGCAACGTTTATAAGCAATACATTAATCTCAAGGGCATTTCATTAGTTTCTCTAAGTTTTCTTTGTAACCTTTTAAAGTTTTGGTTTCTTAAAGCTTTTTTTTTTTTCCGCTCGACCAAGTTCGACTGTCAAGCGCAAGTGGCTGGGACGGTCGCTAAGGTCGAAAATCCTATGGGGTTTGGTATTGTAGGTTGGGGACTTCGGGGGTTTTATTTTATTTTTTTTTTCTCTCCTTATTTTAACGGTGGGGTGGGGGTGGGGGTGGGGTGGGGAGGAGGAGGATGGGTTGGTAAGAAGGATTACGGGTGTGGGGGGATAGGGGTGGGTGGGATAGGGGAGATGGGTGGGGATGGGTGGGGAGGTGGGGTGGGGAATAGGGAGGTGGAGTGGGGATAGGGAGAATGTGGAGGGGGATGGGTAAGGGAGATGAGAAGAGGG